GTGTAGCTTTGTACTTAACTATAAACAAATTCAGAATAACTTATGCTATTTTTATTTCGATGCAATTGGATAATTTATGCATAACTACCTGTCCTCTAATAGTCCTGATCGAAGTGGATAATTAAAATATTTTTGTACTGAACTAGTTCAATTAAATATAGTTTAGTGAACTGTAAACCTGACATTCATAACGCAGCGACACAGTCACTTTCGATATTCATATATATACGAAAGTTTTATAGATTTCATATGAATGTACAAGTGGGCGATAACGATTTCCTATTACTTATGATAAAATCAAACCTTCAATTTAATGTACTTATTTTAGCATACACGCCATCGAGACATATCCGATTTGGTCCGGGTCAGAGTATGGGCGAATTTTTTTCTTACTAAGCAAATAGGTGGCTCGAGAAAAATAACTTCCAAAAATCTGCGCGTGATGTTAACGAGTGCTGAAGAAAGAAAGGAAATGTATAAATCCCCCCCCCCCCCCAATGATTGGTAATCGAATACCGTGCGTTCGTAAAAACAAAGAAATATGAATATTATCTCTGCTCTTCTAGTTGTTTGGTGTATGAATTGTACAAGAATTATATACGGGATGTTAAGTTCCTTAAGAACTGTTTATGTTAAAGATTGTAAACCACGTGTATGCTCTTATCTTCAGGGATAAAACAAGTACATTCAAAACGTCCCAATCAAGTGATTCTTTTATTAAGTAATGTGTGAGACACGTTTATTTCTTCCCAGTTGTTATGTTTTTCTCAACAAATTTTGGGATAGATTTTTTTAAATTATCTTAAATATTATTTTCGCTCAACGCAACTGAGACGTCCATAATTAAAATAATTATCGAAAAGGCACGTATAATAAACATCATTCAATAATATCATTTAAGTAAGAGCTAGAAGGACAAGATTTATATAATACACTCCTGAGGTTTTCCTAATCAAAGGCTTAGTAATGAGTGGAAACCTAACTGAAACGGACACCGAGCCTGTGACTATGACGCCAGACGACGCCACGTGGATTCTAACAGCTTCTTTCGTCATTTTCACTATGCAAACAGGTATTCATTTCCAGTTAATTATTAATAAGCTCGACACGTTATCAAACACGTTAAACTATAATGCAATACTGTTCAACTATAATTAATAAAAACAAGCAGTCATGAAAAACATATTTTCTAAGCCTAATGGTTTCAAGTTTGTTATCACAAAGCGCCCAAAGATGGTTTTGGTTTTGTTTTTTATCGTATACGTTTTAAAATGTGTCATTACATAATTATAAACGTGCTGTAAAGTCTGGGATGAGTTCTAAAAGTATGAATGCAAGTAATAAAATAATAAAGTTGGAATTGTTCCTTGTTTACCCGCACATGCCGAAAACAATACCACACTAAGAATTTTTGTTTGACCTCTTGGGTGAGGATATTTATTTTTTGGTTAACAAGCACAAAGCTACACAGTGGGAACCTGTGCTGTGCCCACCGTGAGTATTGAAACCCGATTTGTAGCGTTATAACACCTCAGACTTATCGCTGATTTACCGGGTTTGTGTGAGAAAACGTCGTTACACGAAACAGATATCTTGTGAAATTATTAAACAGGTCTACATAGTGTTACGACAGCGGAAGTCACGTGACACTGGTAACATGTAATGAGTTCTAGAAAGATCGGGGAACATCACAAATAATCCAGTATTTGGTAGGCGCCCTCTATTCTTGTATATAAGTGCGCCAGACAATGAATCGGGATAGAATTGCAGACAGGCAAAGATAAAGACGAACAATAAAGTCAAGCGCGGTAAAGTGCGTGAGTCATTCGTTGTGAATTATAACGTGTGTTGAAGTTAAACTGATTGTGGAAATTAAGTGTATTGGAAAGTTGTATTGAGAAAGAATAAACTAGTTTTATTTAAGAAAGGACTTGTATCTCTGAAGTTTTTCTGAAGGAATTTTACGGGAAAATAACAAACGACCAGAGACGTAATAATAATTTACTGGAGATTAGGCGTATGCAGTTTCATTTCACGAGCAGCAAATTATTCAAACATTTTCTTTCCCCTACATTCTTATAAGCTCTAATAAACTGAATTTTTTCAAAATGTTATAAATTAAGCCAATCATGTGTTTGCTATATATTGTAGATGCATATCAAGTTCCACCTTTTTTTAACACAATCATTTTTTCATGATAAATTTTCTAGCAATTCTTTTTTTTTTATATGGACTAACACTATCAACAATATGAGGGTCAATAATGTTTCATTGTTGAACGATTTTAACAATGTACCTCTATTTAAAAAAATGTTATCAACATATAAGGAATTATGAAAGTCCATGAATTCATTATATAATTTCTGTAGTGCATATAAGACATTTTAATACTAGAAATAAACTTTTTTTCTCTTAATATAGTAGCACAATGTGCTTGAAAGGAAATGATTTTAATTATAGGTAACTCTTTCTTCATGCGCGTGACTTTTTAACCAATACTGTACAACCAAATTTGTTTGTCAGGCTGAAAATGATATGAAGTTTGTTATTAGTTTGTTTGTTGTTTGAATTTCGCGCAAAACTACACGAGGACTATCTGCGCTAGCCGTCCCTAAATTAGCAGTGTAAGACTAGAGGGAAGGCAGTTAGTCATAATCACCCACCGCCAACTCTTGGGCTACTCTTTTTACCAACGAATAGTGTGATTGACCGTCACATTATAACGCCCCACGGCTGAAAGGGTGAGCATGTTTGGTGGGACAGGGATTCGAACCCGCGACCCGCATATTGCGAGTCGAGCTCCCCAACCACCTGGCCATGCCGGGCGTTTGTTATTAGATCAAGAACTTACTGGTAAGTTGATCTTATGGATTTGTTGAGTTCTTTATCGAGGATCCCTATCTGTAAAATATATTTGTTCTCAAAGTCGCGTTTATCGTGAATTATTTAAACTCTATGAGGTATGAGTGATTATAATATGAAATATATAAATCTACGTTAGGCAACAAATTCCTCTACCTGCCAAAACGCTGTAGTGCTTATGGTAAAAACTTAGGCTAGACGTCCCTAATCTAGCACTACTGACCAGGAAGAGGAGGACAACCAGGTAGCAGCACCCGTCACATACATGGCTGGTCTTAACCAAATAACGGTATTAACTGTCGCTTTCATAGCATGCTCATAGTTAAAATTACGGAGTGTGTTAAGCGACATATCATGCGTTTGAACCTTGGGCTCCATATCCGCAGCTCCGCGCGCTAGTCGATAGGCTACTTAGGTAACTTAGCTAAACAAGTGTTTTCAGGAAGGAATTTCTTTGTTACCCACTCTGCGATTTGCTAGCTCTGAGTTTGAACATAATAGACTGTGTTTCATGTTGTTGTTTTTTTTTATTGTGAAGCAGTGCTGAGGCCTGGCATGGCCTGGTGGTTAGGGTGTTCGGACTCGCAATCTGCGGGTCGCGAATTCGAATCTTCGTCACCGAACATGCTCGCTTTTTCAGCTGTGGGAGAGTTATAATGTGACGGTCAATCCCACTATTCGTTGTAAAAGAGTAGCCCAAGAGTTGGCGGTAGGTGATGTTGACTAGCTGCCTTCCCTCTAATCTATCACTAGCCCTGGTGTAGTTTTGCGCGAAATTAAAAACAAAACCTAACTAATGCTACACATTGCGAATCGAACCTCGGATTGTAGCGTTATATTTTAGCTTAAATACCAAGAAGGAGCTTCATGGAAACCAAATATGACTGACACGAGCAGAAACTTTATTTTTCTTAAAACATGAAACTTTCTGAAACACAAAGATTAATCATATTTGTTAACAATTAAAAAGTTGTTGTGAGTGGACAATAATCTTGAGTATAATTTATAAAAAAAAAGATCATAATAAAATTTTAGTTTGGACAGGGTCGCTTTGGTTACTAAATCTTGGTCTCCTTATCCTTATTACTTTTAGTAAGGGTATTATTCTATGTTGGATTCGAGCAAAATTGTAATCTATTATTCGTTAAACCCGTTTTTTACAGTAGAAAATGCCCATTTCCTTTCTTTCACAAATTAATTTCCTATCATTTTTAGTGTTAATGTTATCTTCACCTCCTGGTGGCTCAGTGGTACATCTGGAGGCTTATAACACTAAAAATGGGGTTTCGCTGCCCGCGGTAGGCAGGGCACAGATAGCCTGTTGTGTACTTTTGTGTTTAACAACAAGTTATTATTTTCGCGTTTCTTTCTTATTCTTTGTTTACAAATTGCCATTTAAATTAATTAAGTTTTAGATAATTTTTCCTCCACTTTCATCGAATTCTGAACTTCAGTAATGTTCTGCCTCCATTAATTCTGTTGATCGTGTAGGATTTGGACTCCTGGAGTCGGGAGCTGTAACTAAGAAAAACGAAGTGAACATCATGATGAAAAATGCTGCTGACGTCATCCTAGGAGGAATAACGTACTGGATGTTTGGATACGGTTTTCAGTACGGATCCAGTCCAGGAACGAATCCGTTTATTGGAGTAGGGTCGTTCTTTTTGGATTCCAATCAAGACGAAATGGGAATCGTTTTTGCTACGTTTATTTTTCAGCTTTCTTTTGCTACGACTGCTACTACAATCGCATCGGGTGCTATGGCTGAACGGACGGACTTTAACGCCTATTGTATCTTCTCTCTTGTGAATACCCTCACATACTGCATCCCAGCAGGCTGGCTCTGGGGTGGCCATGGTTTCCTTAAGAATCTCGGCGCCATCGACTTTGCTGGTTCTTCCGGCGTGCATCTACTAGGAGGTTGTGCTGCTTTTGTAGCAACAGTGGTATTGAAACCTCGTCTTCGACGTTATGATAATGGAACTGCCCCTCTTCCGATGGGAAACCCAATCAATGCCCTAGTTGGGACTTTTACCTTGTGGTAAGTATATTGCAATGGGAATTATAATGGTTTAGTTTTGTGGTACGTATGTTGTAATATGAACTATAATGGTCTCCTGGTGTCTCCCATCTCGTGGTAAATTTATTGTAATGTGAACTATAATGGTTTCGTGGAGTCTCCCATCTTGTGGTAAGTATGTAGTAATATGAACTATAATGGTTTCATGGGGTCTTCCATCTTGTGGTATGTTGTAATGTGAACCATAATGGTTTAGTGGAGTCTCCCATCTTGTGGTAAGTATGCTGTAATGTGAATTATAATGAATTAGTGGGGTCTCCCATCTTGTGTTATGTTGTAATGTAAACTTTAATGGTCTCCTGGGGTCTCCCATCTTGTGGTAAGTATGTTGTAATATCAACTATAATGGTTTCATGGGGTGTTCCATCTTGTGGTATGTTGTAATGTGAACTATAATGGTTTAGTGGAGTCTCCCATCTTGTGTTATGTTGTAATTTAAACAATAATGGCTTAGTGGGGTCTTCCATCTTGTGTTATGTTGTAAAGTAAAAGTTAAACTTTCAATGCTTCACAACAACACTTTATATTTAACAGGTTCTTCTGAATACACAATACCACATATAGTAAGTATGTGTCACAGTGACATTCATATCGTATGTGTCACTTGAAACTCATGTTAACTAAAAACTAAACAATATGTAGACATCTAAGGAATATGGGAAAACTCCATAAAGAAGGTGTTTGGGTGCCTCACGAACTCTCCGACGATCATTTTTTCCAATGTGTGAACGTTGTTCCGTCTCTTCTGGCGCGTAA